GTCTAAACTCTTAGGATCCCCCTTAATAAGCCCTATAGTAGTCCTCTATATAACCCCTTTTAGGGAAAAAAACACTCTAGCTCATATCGGGATTACGAAACAAAGCAACAGTGCGTACTTGATGCTGTGTCAGCATCGACCTGCAGTCTCTTGCCAGGACTGAAAGTCCAGTAGCTGGAATTCGGATACCGGGGCCAATAACAAGATAAACCCTAATGTAGACCCATGATTAGTAAACCCTCTCCCCTTAATAGGGATTATATTGGGGATCCTAGTATTTGGGCCCTTAAAAGGAAGGTGTTTATTCATCAGGGGTCTACATTAAACGCTTAACAGCTTGGCCACTTGCAACAGCAACGATCATGGCTGGCTCAGAACTACTTCTTCAGGTGAAAAGCCGCATGCGCTCGATTACTTGAAGGTTCATGGGACTCCGTAACTACTCATATAATAACTGGCTTGGAATCCTACTTATAATTGGGATAACCTACATAAATCCAGTCAAGGGGGCTACAAGTGAGGCTAGCAGCCCAGAAACAAGGAGTTACCAAATCCCATGAACCTTCAGGATGTGCACAGACACCTGACCATCTCAGCCCCACACCGTTTCCTTGCCAGGAGGTGCCGTGTAGACGAAATTAACCCTGGCAACAGGGGCCACTTTCAGCTCAGCGCTTCCGAAAGCTCCCGAGAATAGGGGGGGGGTTCCCCAAACTAGGGTCTCATTTTGGTATCCCTAAATATTGGGGTGCCACAATATAGTTCATAACCAAAAGGGGTCCATAATTTTGAGAATAACCCATATCAGCCTGCAACACTTCGCGAAAATCTTGCATCCTCCTAACCACTGCAAATTCAAAGATGATTGCGCTTGTTTGCAGGCCAGTATGGACTGCTTGTTGTCTTCTTCAGTGCCGTCAAGTCGCGCAGAATCACAAGTGTCCATATGGCAAAGACTGTAGAAAATGACAGGGAAACAAGTATAGGGATTTTATAAGCTCGTCTGAGACCTCTGAAACCAGAACCTGGTGCTTTTCAGCTGGCTACCGACATCTGCTTATCCGCGCTGACACCGGATTGGTCAGAACTTGAATAGTGCGTTTCTTGGCGATGTCTTTGACTCTTGAGTCTGCTAGCGGAAGGGCTTTCGGCCGCATGTCTCTGTGGAAACTTATACCCAAGCCTTCAGCCTTTGACTGTAAAACCTGGAGCTTGCACCGATCATCACTGTAAACACACAGCAACAAAGTAATAGTACTAGTAATCGCAAAAGCACCAGAAGCCATACGACTCTTGGTGGAAGTAACTGTACCATTGCGATGGCAATCGGCTAAAAACTCAGACCAGAAGGCTAGTACTGCAAATCATACTGTATCACCCCTACAATAGCCCTATATAGTCCATGTAGCATCCCTGTATAACCCTCAGGCTGCTCTATCCCGCTCCCGGCCTAACCGTCTTTCTGGAACCGCCTTTGGAGTCCGTGAGACGCGATGCACGCACGGAATCGCTGCCTCGGCTTCGTTGTTTTCCTGCCAATGATGATAGGACGGTTAGCAGCAACGTCGATTCATGCATCACTGCATAACAAGGAGGATGCTAGAGAAATGCTTTTGGAATTTGGGGGAAAAATCATGGCCCAAAATGATGGCTTGCCAAATACAAGGATTCTTCTGCAAGGACCTTCCAAAAAATGGAAAGAAAAAACCCTTCAAATGAGCTCTACCATGTTGCCTTAGCATGCCCTGTTCTTGTTCCAACTGGACCATGACAGATATCCCAACTCTTGGGACACCCAGTTGCTTTAGGCATTCAGCGATCCAGCAGTTGAGACCTCGGGCCAAACAAAGAGGTTTTCACGATACTAGGATGATCTAAACTTATAATGGAAGCCCTACGTAAGCCCTGCATTCTAAACCCGGGAATAAACAAGTCAATCCGAAACCCCCTACCCAAAACGTTACCCCCCCCCCCCTCCAGCACAATACGTCCTAAACCCCAGAACCAACCCCGAAGCCTGCACCTTTGACCACAATCCCACCGTAACAAGAAACCCTAGTATCCCTAATAATGAACACCCCCCAACATGCAATGCTACGTTCTCGATTGATTATTATTAGGGGGTTGGAGGCTGTATTTCTAGGCTTACTGGCTGTTCGTAGGGAGTGAGGGAATATGATCCCTATACAGCCCCTATATAGCATCCCTCTACAATGTCTTTCCTTCTTCCCTACTAACCCTAAACCCTGCAATGCATTCCCATATTACCTACTAACCCCACAGTTTAGCATGTCTATGGGAAAAATACCCTAAACACTAAACCCTAAACGCCTAATCCCTAGACCCCTAAACCTTAAACCCTAAACCTTGAACCCTAAACCCTAAACCCTAAACCCCTAAATCCTAAACCCGTAGGCAGGAAGTGAAGCCGAGTTCGGCACCGTGCCCGCTCTTCCGGTTTCCAGGACCTGAGGCATTGAGTGGATTTCAGACTGGTTTCTCTAGGATTTAGCGTTAGGGTTTAGGGTTTACGGTTTAGGGTTTAGGGTGTAGGGTTTAGGGTTTTGCGGTTAGGATTCAGGGTTTAGGGTTTAGGGCTGAGGGTTTTTGGGCTTTAGGTTTTAGGGTTTGTGGTTGTCCTTTTCAACATTCTTATTCGATTTTCCTTATTGAAAGCCTTACCGGGTGTCACGACAGAAGCATGCAAAGCACAGTGAGCAAAGAACCAAAGGGCTTTTTGCGTTCCCGGTTTATTCTTGGGGTTTGTGGCTTTAGGGCGACTGAGGTTTGAACTCTTTCGTTTTGTTTTTCATTTTCTCTGCTGACTTGTGCCTTCCTTGCAGATTTAGGGAGAAGAAGAATACAAGTCACTTCAGAAAAGTATCTGACTCCAAGACGCTGGGCAACTCCACAAGAGAAGTCCTGTCAGCCCCTGAGCCACCCGAAACCTCAAAAACCGGAACCCCGACATGCCAGACCCACATGAAACTGCAACCTAAACCCTCCCGGCCCTGCAAAAGACCCTGGGGGCCCAGACTAACCATGCCACCGATGCTTCCTCTCCGCTTCGTGCCTGGCTGATTTTGTGCTTGTAGGGGAATCCCTTTCCGGGGTCCTTGCAGTACTTGGAGGGTCAGGGGGACTTCAGTAGTAGGTCAATAACGGGGATAAGTAGGGTCATTATATGGGTTATACAGGGTTTCTAACCTTATTACTAAGTCCCGCTGACCCTCCAAGTAGGGGTTATAGTGTACATGTGGAGGTGTGCAGGACTCTAGTTTTGGAAGCCTGTTTTGGGGAATGAGATGTGCTTCTTCTAACTATGGCTCCTTGTCTGAGGGGGTTACAGGGCTTACAATGGGTAAGGGGCAACATGTCCAGTGCAATGCATCCAAGATTGGTCTGCAACGGAATGCTCTTGAATGGAAAGTTTGTCCCTATCCGTGAATCAGGGTATGGTGCTACCCAAAACAATAGACTTCCAACACCCGGGTATTTGCCAAAAATGCTATCCTTGATGTACTGCTTCTCGAAATGTCGGTGCCTACCAACTCGGAACTTCAAAACACAAGGATAATCACGACTTTTCTGGGGTCCCCCTTGCCTCCTAGAACACATACTATACGAATCATTTTGAGAAACTCCCACAAACTACGTACTTGGCACACACACCCTGCCACAAACTAACAAAGAAGCTCAAAAGGGGCTCTATAGATACTACTGTCCCTCAAACCCTGCATATCGGTTCCGTGTTGCTTAGAATCTGTGTACCCTCTTGAGCCTCTAAGCTTTCGGGTCAGTGCTGTCAAGTTGCGATGATCATCGGTCTCCGCTTCCTCATCGTCGCCTGCAGAAGCGTATAATGAAGGAGTCCTTGGGGGGATATTCGAGAAAGTCCTCTTTCTGGAAATACTCTAAACCCTAATCCCTAAATCCTAAACCAGGGTTTAGGGTCTAGGGACCTCTGAAAGATTGTTCTCGGAGGTGAGGATGGGATCGCCATATAGGGATGATTTAGGGACCGCTCTCTGAATTCTCTACTAAGACTCGCTGCCAAAACTTTAGGCCCTACATCATGAACCCTAAACCCTTGTTCGAAGTGCCACACCCTAAACCCCAAGCGAGGGACTCCACACTCGTCCCAACACCCAACACCCAAAACCCTAAACGGAAACCCCTAAACCCTAACCCCTAAATCTTACACCCTCACCAGACCCTGAACCTAAGCCGGTTTAGGGTATGGGGTCAGGGGGACTTCGTAGGTAGGTTAATAACCCCCATACCTCTATGACCCTTAAATAACCCTACTTATCCCATTATTAACCTACTTATCAAGTTTCCCTGACCCTCCAAGTATGAGTATTAAGATTAAGTCGTTTGGTTCCGGGTGGGTGTGCAAGCGGATCAGGATCTCAACAGTAACATGGGTTATTCTCCAAATTAGGGACCCGTTTTGGTATGCATTATATTGCGTCACCTACTATGTAGGGGTACCAAAAAGGGACCCTAATTTTTTGGAACCCCCCACATGGTGATTCCATTATTGCAGTTTCCATTTTCTTTTCCATTATCCCTATATTAACCTATAGTACCCTATATTACCCTATAGTACCCTATAGTACCCTATATTATCCTGAACCCGAGTGTAGAATGGTGCCCAGGAACTCGCAGGACTGGCCCCTGCTGGCATCCACAGTCCCCGTTTAAACTCCCACGCGCGTTGACACAAGACCTTGATGAACTCCAACAGCCCTGCATTTCACCGCACAAGACCCATAGCTGACGTAGCCCCTTCATTTTTTAGCCGCGATAATTTTGAAGCGCGCGTGTTGGATAAACGCTGATCCCTAAACCCGAAACCCTGAACCCTTATCCCTAGACCCTAATCCCTAAACCCTGTTCTGGCTGGGGTACCACGAGAAGGAAAGCATGGCACACTTCTAATACAGCCAAGCTGAGGCAGCCACCCCCAGGATGCACTTCCGCCTAAGTACCGTTGAGGGTTTGGGTTTAGGGATTCGGGTTTAGGGATTAAGTTTTAGGGATCAAGGTTTAGGGATCAGGGTTTAGGGTTTATGGACTAGGGTTTGGGGATTAGGTTGTGAGTTTCGGGATTATATAAGGTTTAGGGATTAAGGTTTAGGGATTATAGGGGTTTAGGGTGCGTTGAGCGCCTGACGCTCTTCCACTCCCTGCAAGAAAATGGCAAACCAGCATGAGCTTGCTTTGCCCCGAACCTCAGACACTCTGCCTCGCTTAGAAGCAAGCAAGATTCAGGGGTTTAGGGTTTAGGGTTTAGGGTTTATAGAGTTTAGGGTTTAGGGTTTATAGGGTTTAGGGTTTATAGGGTTTAGGGTTTAGGATTTAAAACCTTCCATAAGTTGGGGGTCCCTTTGTGGTGGTACCTAGAATGAGAGTTATACTCATTCAGGCTTCTAGTGAGCATTACAACAGACATCCTCAAGCAGTACATACAGTCCTGCACCCCTTGAACCCTATTTACTCTATATCGTTCTCGGGCCCTGGAAAGGTTGAAAAAAATCATGTTCTCCATTCATAGGGGCCCGGGCAGGACGTAAACTGCGTTTCCGCCCGAGCCTTGCGTGTAGGGCCTCCCTGGGGATTCTGACTTTTTCTGTGGGTGGGAGGGCTCAAAAGTGCAGCTCCTGCCATGCATTTTGGACCCGAGCCCAAACCAGTCACCAGAGCATCCATGCCCAAACCATAACTCCCTTCGTGTTCCAAGAGCATACGGTCACCAGAGCATCCGTGCCCAAACCAGAATTCAGATCGTGTTCCAAGAGCATACGATCACCAGAGCATCCGTGCCCAAACCAAAATTCAGTTCGTGTCCCAAGAGCATACGGTCACCAGAGCATCCATGCCCAAACCATAACTCCGTTCGTGTTCCAAGAACATAATTACAGACACCAGAGCATCCGTGCCCAAACCATAACTCCGTTCGTTTTCCAAGAGCATACGGTCACCAGAGCATCCATGCCCAAACCATAAGTCCGTCCGTTTTCCAAGAGCATGCGGTCACCAGAGCATCCATGCCCAAGCTATATTTTCGTTGGTGTTCCAAGAGCATACG